ATCTCTCTCAGATTCGTCTCCAATGAGAATTTTGGAATCATTTTTAGATCATTGAATAGTTGACACTTTCAGCTACAAAAGCTCCCAAGTTCAGTGAAAATCAGTTCAAAAACTCAGTCAGATACTAAAGCCACAAGTTAGATAAATTTGTTTGTGGTTCTAATTCGAGACTTTACTCTAATCGATGTCAAAATATGATTTTAAACAGTATACTGTCAGTTTGTATTGACTAAACCTTAGTCCATAGACATAGTATTGATTAATCTGAATTAGAAATATTTTGTAAAAACTTTTTCTCGCTTCGTTTTCATTCGGCAATAACTTTCGATTTTTAATTTCATATCGTTCCATTATCTTAAAATGGAACATTATCTTAAACTATATAGATGACTTCCGCTCGAAATAGATAGAGACCATTGTCTTAAAAACTGACTCGCATTCAATATTGCAAATGATTCGGCACATTCTTTTAAAATTTCTCTATAGAGTGATTTTTACATAGTTTCGAATATCACACAGTAGTATGATACCATGTAAGCATAATCGTTGATAAATCAATTCGATGAGATGACCATACAAATTTGCTCTTCATCAAAATATTTTAGTTTAGGGGGTAATCATTTCGAATAAGAATTTTTTTGTAAAACATTTTTAGAACTGAATTTTATACTTATAAGCTGTCTATAACACATTATTCTATTTATATTTTATACTTAAAAAAGATTACATACATAGATGAAAACGGTTCATGCCCAAACTCCGCACACTTTCATCTACCCACCGCCTTTGAAGATTCTTTGATCTCAATTTGAAATTAATTAAAAGTGTGCGAAGTTCGGGAAGTAACGATAAAAACTCTACGTAGTACTAATTTATTAAAAGAAAGAGTTTTAACTAAATCTATTATTTCATTAAAACATTGTATAAATAAGCCGTCAAGAAATAGATTTTTCAGTAATTTATATTTTTCTGTCGTATTTGTATTTTTTTGGTTTCCATTGATGATGGATAGAAGTCAGTTAAAAGACTTTCTCTATAAAATGTCGTTTGTCAGATATGTGTCAGAATATAAATATCTTACTTATACAAAGTTATTTATAAAAAGATATAATCGGTTCACATTACCTCTTTGGTAAAAAATAATCAAGTCATAAATATTTGGGTAATTTAAACAAATCTATTTGTTTTTGAAAGGCGAGATAAAACACTTTGATAAGAGTTGAAACTATTTTTTTTTATAATTCAAGGCTAATGTTTCAAGGTTATTGAATATATTTCATCCATTAGCATACACTTAATTAAACACAATATTCAGTAGATCGTTATTAAAAATATACTGTGTTTAATTATGCATGTCTTAACTTTTCAAGTTTATAGAAAATGTTTAAATGAAAATTAATTTTACATTAATAATGGTCAATAAATAAATTCTTCTGAATCCTTGTGAACCTTTGTTGTTAGATTTTCTTATGAATATAATCCTGATGATCTCCTCTCTCTCTCTCTCTCTCTCTCCTTGTCTTATTACCTTTTCTTTTACTAATAAGGTGATTATTTTTTTCCACTCAAATATGTTGATACTGACCAAATATTATAACGAAATGTTTTGTACACATATCGAATGATAACTGAATATGACAACGATGATAATGATAAATATAAAAAAGTGAATTATTATCAGAAAATATGGAAAGAGAATATATGTTTATATCATCTTTTGAAGTTTTTATAGACATAGTCCAGTGTGTTTATGAAAAATCAAAAAAGAAACGGAAGAAGTAAGAAGAAAAAAAGTGATGAAATTTGATATTATTTTGTTTTTATTCTTGATATATATATATAAACGATCTTTCTATAATTGCACAAAGAAAATAGAGAATGAGAAACAGTTATGTTGTATTTATTCAGTTAGTCCTAAAATAAAGTTTATCAAGTTTTTAGAGTTAATATTAAAAAAATCATCTTAAATCAATTTCTTAAAAAAGATATTCAATAATCTCAATTTCTGTTATGGTATGTTTTTTTTTAATTTACAATTGTACAACGTAATTCAACGTACTAAACAATGTACTGAAGTCGGTAAATTTCTTTTTTTGAGAAAGTATCATACCTTTAATACGGTAGAACGAGTTCATTTATAACATCATCGTTTTCCTTTCATTTTCTTTTGACTCTACTCAGTTGTTACTTCTCCTCATTTCTTATGTTAACAAAAAACTGGCTTCACCTATCCTAGTCGTCTATAAACGAACGTTTTATGGTCATTAATGAAATCGTACTAAACTGAGGACTTTTCACGAGTAAGTATAAATGGAACGTATTTATATGACATGAAAAGCGAAAGTCTTCGGTAGTTTACTGTACGGATCGTTTTTTTTTTCATTCGTCAACAAACTAGAAGACAATCTTAACAGTTTTTTTGAGAGAAATCCGTTTTTTCTGTTGGTTAACTTATGCGCATCTCTCTTATGTTATTTTATGAGCAAGACGTAGGTACTGACGAGTTTTGCCTATATTATTCTAATTTCTTATAGTTTGTATTTAAAATTATTCTTAACGCGTCATTTATTTTCTTTCGTTTTGTTTTGTTTCTTGTTTTCTTAAAGATAAAGTGGCAAAATAACATATGCCTTTTCAAGCATTATTACGTTTCATTTTAAATACTGTATTAATTGAAGTACGCTCGACACATGACGAACAAGTTAAAAAGACGGTTTGACAATTGTTTATTTTAAGACCCACTTTTTATAACAAATGATGTTTATCGATTACATTATTTTACGACGAATCACCATTATTTTATTTTACTTGATTCAATTGTTCACATTATTTTTGGCAAGCAATTTGTCAGAACTTGAAGGTAAATGACTTCTTCTACTTGCAGAAGAGACTGCACAGCAGGAGCCTTGCGCCCGTGCTCGTACAGTAGGTAGTCCGCTGCGACAACTTCACGGACGTGGCCGAGACGATGTACACGGCAGGCGCGCGTCTCATGGAGCCGCTCACCAGCACGAGCTACTACCACATGAGGATTACTTCTAGGTGTTAATTTGGGTTCTTCCTCGCTTCTACCTAGTTACTTTCTACACTGACTCAGGCCATTCCTACATCCTGTCGAACACCTTCTTCTCCTGCTCCTCGAGATTGGCTATCGTACGTCTGCAAACATTGAGATGCTCTTATGTAAGGACTCTTACTCGCAACATTACAACCTTTCTTTGACTCATCTACTCAGACTTGATCATTTGTTCAGAAGTATCAGTAGTCTCGGATACTGCTAACCATAGACGACTGTTTGTTTCAGTCCTTTTAAGAAGGTAAATTCAAATGAAATTTTCGAGGGTACTTAGTGTTCAACATCGATTTCTCTGCTCTTGCCTAACCCAAACAACTGTTTCTCATGTCATTATCAAAAAGAGAAATGATAAATTATTCAGTATAGTGCCAACTGTGCAATTATATTAAGGAGTGGTGGTTCAAGGCTATTCTTTTTCTCTTCAAACTTTGGCATACGTTTTGTTTGTCTAACAAGAACAAGTTCTTCTGTTATATTAAATTAGCCTTTTCATGCCCTAGATTTTGAATATAATATTACAAAACATCTATTACTACTTTAACACATGTTTAATTGTTTTATCTTACTCAGATTGAGTTACATAAAATATTCAAGTGAACTTGTATATGTGGAGATAAACCGCACTAGCAAATGGGTTGACATTGTACTTTAAAGGTGATGTCCGAACTGTAGCGATGTCAGCCAGTTAATAGTCTTAGTAAGCTACTGGTCTACAGTGACAGGCGGACATGTAATCTTTTTTTATCAACAACGCTTCTTTTTGCGCGGAAACGATTCTATACCACTCAGAGAATTACTCTCAAGCAAAAAAACGTTTTTTAAAAACGACCAAAAACCTCTCAAGGCGATCCTTGTGCAACTTTTTTCGAAAAAGTTCTTTTATTTAGAAAAGTTTTGTGTTATACATCATTCGATGTAGTTTCACGTGTCAATTCTAAATATCACCTTATTATTTTTTTATTGAAAGTGTTCCCAGACTGAGGAAAATGGATTTTATCTAAAAAACCAGGTTTTGGGAAAATCTCTAGTATCGTCCAGGAATATTTGTGCTATTTGTATAGACGTGAGGTATACAGACAAACATTCTGGTAAAGTTTGAACTCATCTGAAGCCTTGCGCATCTTTCCATGCTCATTATACTTGATACAGCTTCACGGTAACTTAGCTCGAAAGATAATTTTTTCTCTCCAGAAACTTAGATCAAAAAGCAACTTTTTGTAGTAATAGATAACGAAAAGTTCCTAGTTTTATATTCTACTTGATTTTTGTTTTAATCTATGCTGGATTCAATAAAAAATACAGGACGGTGTTTCCAGGCTGATTTTTAGCCAACCGTTTTTTCAAGATTATTAGCTTTTAGAACAAAATTTTTATGCCAAAAAACAGTCCATCAATCGACGTATATTTAACTCTATTTGAATCTTAAAAAAGCTCGCTTGTGATTGTTCGCCTGGATACCCATTGTGCGATCCTCATCGTCTCACTTACCTGCTATTAAAGAGCGTAATGGCGCTTTTCCACTATCCCACCGATCACGAGCTCACAAAGTTTAAAAAAATGTTCAGGGATTTTCTCGGTTCATCAAAACCAGTAAACGTAAAATGACTTTGAAACCTGTCGTAAAATTGATATAGTTTGGAATAAGAATGTGATACAAACCTCGGAGACTTCATATTGTGTCTAGAAAAGTGTGTTCTATACGAATGAGTTGTGCACAAAACGTTTTCACTTGAATCTGAAGATTTAGCTCCATAGAGGTCTGATTTTTTTAGAGATCCCATATCATCAAACTTTAATGGAATTAGGATATACACTGATCCAACTGAAAACTCTTCCAGCTACTAAAAACACTTTTCAGCTTTGTTCTGGCTATCACGATCGAGCAAAAAAACCATGAAAATAAATTGTTTCTGTAATTTTTCACATGACAGTATCTCTCACAAGACAAAGTAAAGAGAGATGCGTGTATTGAATGACAGTTTATCCAAAAGTGATTTAAAATCCCGATCTTCTTTTATCAATATAGTTTTTAAGTTAATGATGAGAAGATGTTATGACATTTCTCTATCTTTCAGTTAAAATAATCCCAAAACCAATTCTTAATATCGATGATCAATGTTATGAAGCTGAATATTATGAAAAGACATATTCCTTTTGTCTTCGCCGAACTGGTTCAAATAATATTTATGCCTACAATTTTAATACAGCACAAATATTTTGTAGCCAACGTGGTGGATATTTAGCAGAGATAAATGACGATGGTGAACATAATTTTATATTGAACACCGTGATTATGTTACATAATCAGACAGATCCACCAGCACCCAATTTCATCTGGATTGGGGGACAATTATCATTATCCGATCGAAGTAAGTAAGTGTCGCCATTAAAAATGAACGTTAAACACTATATAGAGATGATGTTAGATTTCAGGTGATAATAAATACATATGGATAACATCACAAAAAGAAATTAGCAAAGATTTATGGTGTCCTGGTGAATGCAATGTAAAAGGAAGACCCATGGTGATGCTGAAAACGTTTTGTCAAATACCATCATCGAAACCACACATTTGCCTCGGAACAAGACTAAAAGCAACAGAGCAAGCACCATTTATCTGCGTTTATAACCGAAGAGAGCAAGCACATTCCATTTCGATAGCAACGGATTGGAAAAAAAGAGAAAGTAATAATCACAGAATACAGTTTGGATGGTTTCTATTTGCATGACTATCTTTAGATTTTCCAGTAATTATTTATGATAAAGATAAATGCATTGTTGTTCAATCATCTAATAATCTTTATTATTTCTGTTTTCGACGCCAAAATTGTACGGGAACAAATGCTTATTGTTTAAAATGGATTCAAGCTAAAAATGTTTGTCAGTCTAAAGGCGGTGATCTTTTAACAATTGAAACAGAGAATGAAAGACAATTTGTATCAAGTATTGTTATAAAATATTTGAACGAATCGTTGTTAACTCACAATGGTAGTACGTACAAAAATTATCAATTGGCACAATATCTTTGGATTGATGGTGTTAGAACTTCAAGTAGGTGATCATTTCTGCTACAGATACTGTAAGTAGTAAATTTTCTGTTATTATTTTTTATGCAATAATTTGACATATACGTGGAGCGTAAACGGTAACAGAATTTTGAATGATTTATGGTGTGAAAATAATTGTACGAGTCGATCACGTGAGCGCGTAATGTTGAGAACATTTTGTACCAGTAATCCTAAAGTCGTCTGTCTCGGCACAAAAGATGGATGGAATCCGGGACCATTTATTTGTAAAAAAAGACTTTTAATTGA